TTTAAAAATTAATAATAATAGTTTATTTTCAATTTAATACAATGTTGCAAAAATTAATATTAATAGCATTACAAATAATAAAATAATATATTCTGATATATATTCTACAGGACAAATAAAAATAATTCTGTACTAATAAAATTAAGAAATCAATATCAATCAGAATTACTGATTGAATGAAATAGTAAAATTCTAGTACAACCTGATATGGTTTTATTTTTCTTTTTAATCATAATTAGTATTATTCATTTACTACAATCGGTAAATATTTCAGTTCAAATAAACAATCTGATCTCGCATTTCAATCGTAAAATATTATAAGCTGATTGAAGCTATTAATTAACCAAAATCAGCATTCATACATATTGTACAATATTTAATTACCGTTATCCTATCGAAATCCAATAAGACATGCTATTGATATCTGATTGTATGCTGATTTGTCATCATTTGAATAGTGATAATCTGTATGTTTGGGAGAGATATAGATAAACAAAAATTCTGTAAATATGGATGGGATAATTTATTTTGGAAATCTATTGTAAAAAAAGAGTATAATAGGGATGAGAATCTTGTAGTTAGAAATATTAGCAATAAAAACAAATTAGCTATAGATATTTTCTGTAAAAGTAAAAAAGCAAAGAAATAACTTGATGCTGAGACTCGCATTAAATGGCCTAGAATCTACGTACTCTCTCCCTCTTTGATAGCATCATACAGTGTGTAAAATTCATGTGCATAATGTGCACATGTGCAAATTAAATTTTTGTGTGCACATATTACACAGCATAAAATGTACACAAATAATTACTAAAATAGATAAATTATATATAAAAATAGATAAATTATTTATAAAAATGGAAATACTATGTAATATATGCATTAATTTTCTATTTTTAATACAACTTGTACACATGACTTTTGGTCTAAATTTTATACACTGGCATCATACATTTCATTCACTTATCTAGCATTTTCTAATTCGCTATATATCTGAAAAATTATTAATAAGTTTTGCCCACTTTAGGGAAGACGAGAAATTATTTATACTAGCTGGCATCAAATGCAAATAATATGTGATAAACACGAAAGGTGTAACCTTGAAATGCTGGTTATGTTACAGATATTGATGTCACGTGATTATCTTACATAATTTAAGTTGGCTTCATAATCGTCATCTTTTTTCCTAAGTTTTGAAATGTATCCTGACCGAACAGGCAAGCATAGTAATAAAGACTACTAGACTAGAAACGAACTTTAGCTATTAATCACTTCATTTTTAGTCCTTGTAGTTTATTTGAATGAGCGTGATCCCAGTACTTGGTCGTACATAGATTTCTTAACTTTAAACTGTATCGCTATTGTAAATTTACTACCGCATCGCATGAATCAAACGATTCCTGCTAGCTGTAAAAGAAATTAGCCCAGAGTCAGCTGACGATGTGAAAAGGAAGGTAATTTTTCATTTGGAGTATCAGAAGTTTTCTGATCCAAGTAATGGTGTGAGGCAACTCTTTGACAGGTGTTACCTACGCTTGGAGTATCAGAAGTTTTCTGGTCTCACCATTGCGAACTGCTCTGTTTTGTCATAGTTTAGTTTGTTTGGGTGGTAGAACAATAAAATATATATCCTAATTATCTACTCTATTTAACAAGGTGATCCTGAAGCATACCAAGTTCAACTTGTGTTCCTTTTGGCAAGAAGTGATCATTGAAAGACTACAGGTAATGCAAAAATATATATATCAGCGTCAATTTCTAATTTTATTAATACATTTTTTTGAATAAAACATTTTATAATTAATATTAGCGTAAAATTCAAAGTAATTATGATATGGAAACCCTTTATATATATGATGAATTGAGTAAATTTTATGGAAAACAGTTTCGCTTACCCTACACTGGTCAGACTATTGAGGCAACGTTCTCGCAACATCGTTCTAGAAATGGAGAGGAAATATCAGATTAGAGAATGACGATGTAAGTTCATGTTATTCAGGATCCATGCTCAAGTTCTCATTTATGTCTTTCAGGAAAAGACGTTCAATGGAGAAAGATCAAGAGGAAAAAAGCAAACGTTGAAACATGTTGTAAAACATTAGTCATATTACAACGATTGTAAGAATGTTAATAAGTGAGTTTGATGATAAAAATATATTCTAATATAACTTTAATTATTATAGGATGTTACGGATGTGGATGAAGAGTCAGATTATAGTGAAACTGAAGACTCATGTGAAATGCTTGATTTTACAGAATTTGATGAATCTTATATAGTGATAGATCCCGAAAAAATGTAGGAGCTAAAATCTAGACAAAAAGTTGAGGAAATAATTTATCAGTACGCAAGAAAATTACACAACTATGTAAGAAGGAATGGGATCACTAGCAACTACTACAAAATATTCCAGATGAACCACTGTCTTATGAAATAACCTATACACACCTTAATGGACCTTAAAAACAACAGATCACTCAATTCTTACATAAAAATAGTGATGTATTCACTGAGGATTTATCACAATTGGGACATACAACGATTGAGACACATCATATACCAGTAGAAAATCTGATGTCTATACGACAGCGTGTATACAAAGTAGCTTCTTTAGAACAAGAATTTATCAAGGATGAAGTTAGTAGGATGTTGAAATACAACCTGATACAACCTTCTAAAAGTCCTTAAACCTCACCTGTTATTCTCGTTCAGAAGAAAAATGGGAAACTTTAGTTTTGTATCAATTATAGGAAACTTAATAGTATTACTCAACGAGATGGACATCCTTTACCACGTATTGATGAGTTATTGGATATGTTCAGAAAGGCTAAGTATTTTTCAACCTTAGATTTAGCCAGTGGATATTAGCAGGTTGCCATGGATCCAAATGATCAAGCTAAAACAGTTTTTATAACTAGTCAAGGACTTTATAAATTTAAAGTAATACCGTTTGGATTAACAAATGCATCTGCAACTTTCCAACGTCTAATGAATAAGATTTTTAGAGAGGAGATCAGACAGTTCATAGCTGTATATCTTAACGATATCATCATCTTTTCAGATACCTTTAATACACATTTGCGACATTTACAGCTCATCTTTAAATAATTAAAAGACGCTAGACTCAAACTTGGAAAAGATAAATACGAGTTTACTAAGTTAGAATTAGCATTTTTAGAATATATTGTGAATAGACAAGGAATCTCACCAGACCCCTCTAAAATAGATAAAATCAAGAATTTTTCAATTCCAAGAAATATTACTGAGTTACAAGGATTCCTAGAACAAGCATCATATTATAGAAGATTTATTCAGGATTTTTCAACATCAGAACCACTGTTGCATTTGTTATTGTGAAAAGATATACTTTATGTTTGAACAGAATCACAACAAAAGGCTTTTGAACATTTGAAGACATGCCTAATAACTGCACTAGTTTTGATTTACCCTGATTTTAAAAGCAAGTTTTTGCTCTTTACCAATGGTTTATACATAGACCTTAGCATAGTATTAGCATAATTAGATGATAATAATAAGGAACGTATCATAGCTTATACTAGTTGAAGTATAAGCTATGCTGAGCGGAATTATGCTCCAACTGAATTAGAATGTCTTGTCACTATATGGAGGATGAGACACTTTTGACCTTATTTATTACATCAACAATTTGAACTAATTATTGACCACACAGTCCTATAATAGCTTTTTAATAAGCCTGACCCTTCTCGTAAGTTTATGAGATAGATTATTCATATTATAGAATTCTCATATCAAATTCAATATAAAAAAGGAAAATTACATTCAAACGCTGATGCATTGTCCCGACTTCCCCCACAATAACCCACAACAACAATTATAACAAAAATCTAAGAGTGAAAGCGTAAGTATTAGCAGTGTGACTAACAGCTCTACAATATGAAACCTGAAACCTATCACCAATTATGCCAATATCTTACTCAACTCATATACCTCCCAAATCTCACCCCATCACAACAACACGTAATTTAAAAGCAAGCTCAACATTATTTCGTATAAAACCAACAACTTTATAAATGAAATCGTAAAATTTCAACTCAACCATTACTTGTAATTAAAACTAATGAAGTTGAAAGTATCCTACATAATATTCATAATAAACTTTTAGAAAGACATTTAGTACGTGACATCACCTATAACAAATTTGCCTCTCAATATTATTGGCCTAATATGTATAAAATGATTGATAATTAGATACGAACATGTGATGTATGCCAATGACAAGGAAGACCAAAACCCAAAGAACTATTGCATTCTATACCTGTTGGACAACCATTCGATCATATTGGAATAGATTACGTGAGACCACTTTCACGTATGACAAAAGGAAATAGGTATATTATTGATAAAATGGGTTGAAGCTAGTGCTACACCAGATTGCACCGTTCAGACTACTGCACAGTTTATTTACAATAAAATCATATATCAACACGGAACACCAAAAGAAATATTAACCGACCGAGCTACATCATTCCAGAATGAATTAGTTACTGTTTTGTTATATGTAGTAGGAACTAAACATAGATTATCTTCACTGTATCATCCACAGACCAATGGCCTTATTGAATGCTTTAATAGAACTTTATGTACAATTTTAGCCAAATACACTGAATAACATCATGGAGAATGGGATACTTATTTGACATTAGCGTTATTCGCATACCGAACTGCTCAGCAAGAGACAACTAAATTTGAGCCATTTGAATTGTTATATGGACGAAAAGCAGTTCTATCTATAGATTTATAACTATAGCGACCTTCACCTATCATGAACTTATCAAATGCTATGGAGAAATATCAGCAGATAATCTCATCACAATTGCAACAATGACGATTAGATACACAACAAAATATTATGCAATGACAACAAAAGCAATAGGAATGTTACAATAAGGATCAACCTAGAATTTCTTACCAAATTAGAAATAAAGTTTTATTATTTAATGTCATACAATCACACATTTATAGAGATAAATTCAAAGACAAATTCGATAAACCTTTCTACATTCATGATATTGTGAGACCTGGAACTTATAAACTTCATATTATAGATAGATAAGTTAGAAAGAATCCCATATATGCAGATTTTCTAAAGCCATATTTAAAACGAATTGAATGGGAATCTCGGATTATTATTGAATAATGATCAGCATTAAGACATTATAAAAGGGACCTTCACTATCATTATATTATTCAAACAAATAAAACTATAATGGAACTTATGAATTTTAAAATAGTTTTAAAAGAATTTCAAATTCTTACAACTGTTCTTGAAGAAGAAATTTGACCAATGGAACCTCCATATCAAACTGACGCATCCTTAGCTCAAAAAGTGCAATCCACTTATCAAACTCTCCTTCATTCTACCCGTATGAAAAACCGTATTTTATCTCTTATTAATGCTTTTTATTTAAGTCAACTTATTGACGATGTGACTATTTCATCGGCCTAACAAATGGTATAAATGGCAACGATAACTAAACATTATTACCGAACTGCTATTTGAGTTTATCATCTCTTTGAAAACATAAGAGTCCAACAAATCTTTTGATACTCGATGTCTGACCTTGACCATAATTTGACGATTAAAGTCCAATGAATATCAAGCTCTTGTACTAGAAACTCTCAATATTTCTGCAAGAGCAGAAATCTTAAGCGGGAAGTAATGTGAACAGGTAAATGTAACACAACTTATATGGCACAGAAGATCGACTAATTTGACATAAACAATATATATGATATGTCAGACATATGTGGCATAACTGATATATTAGATATAGTTGATATATTAGATATAGTTAATATATTAGACATAGTTGACATATTAGATATGTTAGTTATATCTCTCTATGTAATTTATTTTATATAAATAGGTAGCTTTTTAGTTTATGTAAAAAGACAAACAGATAGAAACTCGACAAGTTAATTTTAGTAGTTTTAGAGGTAACTGGCCTATCATGTTACATTTTTGTTTCAGTAATTCATTTCTTTTCTTTCTTATTTTATTTTCTTATTTTCTTTTATCTCTTTCTTTTACTTTTATTATTTTACTCGTAAATAAATATATTATTTTATAATTATAAATCATTAGTAATCTGTTGAATTACTGCTTGACATAATAATATAAATACTTTTGATAAATAGTTTGGAATAAAACTCGTTAATTGTTGAAAGATTACTGCTTAATTCAAAAAAATAAACCACTTAAACATTCCGTCTAACAGTTGTAGTTCACAAAAATTACATGTTAACAGTACTATAAATCTTGGCTGAATAATAGAATATTTGATTCAGCATATTCACAGCTTTTAGATACGAATCAGAAGCTTTGTAGTAAGCTTCAAGATGAGATTTTTATTAATAAGAGCAATAAGAAAAAACTTCACTCTCTTATAAAGGAGCTTGAGTAATATTATTGAACTATCTTATTACAGGATAATACTATTATAACCTACAAAAAAGAGGTAGAGAAACTTAAATCAGAAATATCTGATTTGCGAAAACAGCTTAAGTTTTACAACAGGATAAAAAATTCAAAGATAGAGTTGAGTTCATTCAAGATAGCTGAATTATAGAGCTTAAAAATAAGGTTGGAAATCTTAAAACAAGAATCTGGATTCTCATAGATAAAAAAATCCCAATAAATACTTTAGATATGACAACGACTAATCTTATTGCAAATGTTAATAGAGGGTTAGATCGAATTAAAAATCACATTAGAGGAGTTGATACCCCTATGCAAAATCTTGCTAATGTTATAGATGGAATCAGAGGCTCATTAAATACTATTCAGATTACTTTGCAAAATATCATAACTGAGAGGGATCAATATTAAAACTTATTAAATTATTCAATTTGGCGGGTAAAAGATTTTAGAAATCAGTTAAATGATAACAGAAATCAGAATTTACGATTACAACATTTATTAGATAAATCCTACGTTTAGGTTGAAATAACTTTGAGAGAAAGAGACAATGTTCAAGGAGAGCAGGACTTGGCTATGTTGGCCTATAATAATAAAAGATAAGAATCCTGTCGCTGAATGTTTTCATATCAGAATAAATATAGGCATATTCAAGAATTATTATAAGAAAATTTACTAAACAGCTATTGTATTAGCGAGATAGTAATCATCTTCAGCGAAATACCTGACAGTTGCAGACCAATGCCCAAACCTAGGTAAATATGATGTTAGTTATTATAACAAGAAAACAAACCTGCATTAATAAATTGCTACGTGAGAAGTTTGTTTTCCAACTAATGATT